CAGCCACACCTGGGATGGCACTGTGGCTCAAAGAGCGTTTGCAGAGTGAGTGGGATCCCTCTGGCAAGTGGGGTTCCTCAGCCTGGCCTGCGGGGATTGGACTAAAACCAGCTCTCTGACATCCCCCAAGGGGTCCGGAGTGCGAAAGGGCACTTGGCAAAGTTGCTGTTGTACAGGGTGTGGAGCGTAAACTCAGTGTGCAGTAAACCATATTCAGGGCAACAACATAACCCATAGCCAAAAATGGAATAGCACAGCCCCACAAGGAATCAGGCTCCCTCCTCTCTGGTTTCGAGGTGCATCATCCAAGAACCACCCCTGCCAAGTCTCAGCAGCTCCTACGTTGAGCGTCTACCCCCTGCTGATCAGTGTGCATCATAGTTACCATTCAGATGGGCACTCTAGCCTTCTATATGTATAGACTAGTGACCCAGTACACAAAATTCATGCATGGGGGGAGGAGGGGTTGTCCCTCAGCCCGGCCTGCACCCTCTCCAATCTGGGACCCCTCAGACATCTGCCAGTTTAGGCCCTATCCAGGGATCGAGACTAAACTGGCAGTTGGACATCCCTTTCGCAATCTGGAACTGCTGGCTCCTAACTGCTCACCTGCCTGCCTGCCTGATCACCCCTAACCATTCTGCCTGCTGGCCTGCTAACCCTCAACTGTCACTTCCACTGGCCTTCGTGCCCCCAACTGGCCTCCTTGCCAGCCTGATCATCCCTAACTCCACCTCACCCCCGGCAGCCTAATCACCCTAACTGGCCTCCCCCCCCCCCCCCCCCCCGATCACTCCTAACTGCCACTGCCTTGGCCCCACCACCAATGCCTTGTCCAGAAAGTCTCCCTGTCTGATTAGCGTATTACCCTTTTATTAGTATAGGTAGTGCTGGAAGTCCTAGCTCCTTGGTCGGCAAACTGCAGCTCACAAGCTACATGTTGATCTTTGGCCCCTTTAGTGTGGCTCTTCCACAAAATATCACAGCCTGGGCAAATCTATTTTGAAGAAGTGGCATTAGAAGAAGTTTAAGTTTAAAAAATTTGGCTCTTAAAAGAAATTTCAATCCTTGTACTGTTGATATTTGGCTCTGTTGACTAATGAGTTTGGTGATCACTGTCCTGGCCAGAGCAATAAGACAAGAGAAAGAAATAGAAGGCATCCAAATAGGGAAGAAAGAAGTCAAACTGTCACTTTTTGTGGATGACATATATATCATCTGTATATAGAAAACCCTAAAGACTCTATCAAAAAACTATTAGGAACAAGAAACAAATATACCAGTAGTCAAGTTGCAGGATAGAAAATTAGTTTGCAAAAATACATTGCCTTCCTGTATACTAAGCATAAAACTTCAGGAAAAGAAATGGAAGGGAGGTGGGGGGAGGGAAACAGTTTCTTTTGCAATTGGAATCAAAAGAATAGAATACTTCGGAATAAACTTAACAAAGAATGGGAAAGACCTATATACTGAATATTACAAAGCATTTTTTAAAGAGATTGAAAAAGACACAATACAATAGAAAAAAATCCTGTGTTCAAGGGTTGGAAGAATCAATAATAGTTAAAATGGCCATATTGCCCAAAGCAATATACAGATTTAATGCAATCCCATCAAAATCTCAAGGTCATTTTTTAAAGAATGGAACAAGAAATCATCAGATTTGTTTGGAACCACAGAAGACCTTGAATAGCCAAAGAAAGAAGAACGAAGCTAAAGGTATCACACTGCTTGGCTTCAAATTATGCTACAGAGCTACGATAATTCCTCATGGTATTGGCTGAGAAACAGACACATAGATCAATAGAACAGAATAGAGAGCCAAGTTATAAAACCACATGCATATTGTCTCCCACAATACCACTGTTATAACTGTATAATTATAATTCTGTAATATATATAGTCTCAGAAAATTTTCCCAGTTTTCTGCAAAATGTCTTTATAGCTAGCTATAGGTTTTGTACATTTGTCCCACATTCTGGCTATTTAATTGCTTTCTCATGATCAGACTTAGGATGTATAAGAGCAGTTAGGGGGACCAGGCCAGCAGGGGAGAGCAGTTAGGGGGTATCAAACTGGCAGGTGAGAGCAGTTAGGGCGATCAAGCCTGCAGGCAGGTGAACAGTTAGGAGCCAGCAGTTCCTTATTGCTAGAGGGATGTCCAACTGCCAACAGGGTTCATGCCTAAACTTCCAGTCAGACATTCCTCAAGTGGTCTCAGATTGGAGAAGGCTAAGAGAAACCCCTCCACCCTACCCCACCTCCATCCCGTGCACAAATTTCATGCACTGGGCCTCTAGTCCTATATAATAAAAGCCTAATAAGCTAAGTGTCTGATTGATCTGTCAACTGTTCAACCAATCAAAGCATAATATGCTAATGATATGCTAAGGTTGCTCAACCAATTTGTTATGATGTACGCTGACCAGGGGGTTAGCTTGCTGCTGGGGTCTGGCTGATCAGGACTTTGCAAGACAGGCGGGACATATCCTGGATCCCTCCTGTGTCCCTCCCTGGCCCTGATCATGCACCAGTGGGGTCCCTCGGCCTGGCCTGCGCCCCCTCAAAATCCAGGCTTACGGACCTTTTCCCTGAGTGCACGAATTTCATGCACCAGGCCTCTAGTCCTTTAATTGGTAATGATTTTTATCATTTTCCACCTAATTCTTTCTGTGTTTATGTTTGCATAAAAAGAATGTGTATGTTATTCTCCTGTTCCAATATGTATTTTTTTATTTCTGTTTCTCTTTCTCACACTAGTGGTCTTATTCTAAATACATTTCTTTTGCATCTTGTTTTTCTCAATCTTTTATCTTTTATAGCTCTAAAGTACTTGGTCACATAGATGTACCATCATTTATTCAATCAAATACATGTCTGGGGATTTGGTTGTTTCTAATATTTTGCTCTTATAAATCAATGAATAACCTGTGCTTATGTTTTTGGGAGGGGGAGTATTGTTAAGAGGGGGAGTATCTTAATTCATAGAAATGGGATTGCTGGGAGAAATATGTAGTTTTGTTAGATAGTGTCAAACTTTCCTTATTGGTGGCACCATTTAACACTCCAACAGCAAGGCACTGCAGAGCTCTTAACCTTTCTCACTCTGAAAATACTTTTGAATTTTTGCTAGTTCTGTTGGATGAAAAGCATTTACTCAGTGGTTTTAACTGTACTTCTCTTATTGTGAATACATTAGAGCCATATTTTTTCATTTTTTAATATAGCTTAATTTGGTCAGTCTTTTTTGCTTCTGAATTTTGAGTCAGAGTTAAGGAAGACTTTGATATCTACGTTATAAAGAATTCACTGATGTTGTTTAGTACTTGTTTTGTTGCTATTTTCTGTGTTTAGCTCTCTGACTCATGTAGAGTTCATTGTAATGTATGGTGTGAGGTTTGGATCTAGTTTATCTTTTGCCTATGGCAGTTATTTACATTGCTTATTAAAAATTCCATCTTTTCTCCATCAGAGAAGGAAAGGACTGGTGTTCCTAGTTTTAAAAAGGAAAAAATCACAAAATTAACACTGATATTTCACATTTTTTAGTGTCAATTTCATTGGCAAAAGCTTGAATGAGAATAAGCTTGACTCAGAGACACAGCTGGGCTCCTACAATAATTGAATTTGTACCCCCAAATTATAGCCTCTACTTTCAGGAGAGAACGGGGTCCAGCACGCGTCCTGGGTGATGGAGAGTGGGCCATCCTGAGAAAGGCTCTCCAGGCGAGGAACACAGTGCGCACCGGCCGCCAGTCGTTAGAGTGCAGAGGGCACAAGACATTGGGCCTCAGACTTCACCTGACATCGCTCAACAAAATGAGTGCTTTTTGTGGGCTTTTTTAAATTATTATTTTAGTTGTACAGGGCTATTGGAGAAGACACAAATGGCTAAAGCTGGTCTCAAGTTTCCGGCAGTGCTGCTCCTTCAGAGTAAAGGATATTTGGAAATGTGTGTACGTGAGATTTGTCACAGCACTGGGGATATCATGGCCCAGATTTCTAATAAACCAGGGTTGTTAAGCGATCTGCAGTGTAGAGGAAAGTTGCCTACAATGAAGCTATCGCAAAGTGCCAGTAGCATCCCCATCGAGAAACAGACATGTTCGAGAACTTGTTTGGGGATATGTAGTTTAAAATCACAACTTCTAGGAATAGTTCAAAGAGCAGCCAAATATCAGTGGGTATCACTGTGGATAAGACATCGATCCTACTCTGACCAGTGTTCTGCCTGATATTTGTACTGCCAGCTGGGCGCTAGGACACATTAGCTCAGCAGTTGTGTGGCTGTGGCAGTGGTCTAGGGTTCCTTTAAAAGGGAGAGATGATCCGTCGGCGTGCTATTACTTTCATGTTTGAGGACACACTTGAAAATTGTTCATAACTACTTTAATACGGTAATATCCCCTTATCCACAGTTGCGCTTTCCTCAGTTTCAGCTACCTGTAGACTTTCTCACTCTGAAAATACTAAATGGAAAACTCCAGAAATCGCTGTCCTGTTCTCTCTCACCCGGGATGTGAATCAGCCTTTGTCCTCTGTCTCCAAGCTGTATTCACTCCTCGCCCTTAATCACTTAGTATCAAGTTCACTTTGAGGTGTCACAGTGCTTATGTTCAAGTAACCCTTATTTTACTTAACAAGGGCCCAAATCCCAAGAGTAATAGTGCTGGCAATTCAGTTTTGCCAAAGAGAAGCTGTAAATGTCACCAGAGGCACGTATGTATGTATAGGAAAAACCATGTCATACACAGAGATGGGGATTATCAGGAGTTTCAGGCATCTCCTGGGGGTTGTAGAACGAGGAGCTACTTTCCTTACAGTTTTCTTCTGGGGGATGTGTATGTGGTAACATTCTTTCATTTTGATTATGTTGAAATGAGATAATGCATATGAAACTGTTAATGTGATATCTGGTGCATTTGCACTCAATAACTGTTAACCATAACATTAACTGGTTTCTGTAACAGTTATTAACTAACCTTTATGTATATTTTCAGAGAGCTATTGCTTATCTTTTCCCCAGTGGTTTGTTTGAGAAGCGAGCCAGACCAATAATGAAGGTAATTATCTTAATTCATATTTTTAAAAATTTCACTTAGTTTTATATGTTGCAGTAATTATCTAATGCATTTTTAAATTTATTTTACAGCATCCTGAACAGATTTTTCCAAAACAGAAAGGTAAGTTTGCTTAAGAATGAAATAATCAGTTATTTTTGCTATATTGTTATATGTCAGCAGTCATTTACATAGTATGGAAATGAACTCTTGTATATCATGGTGGTTGTGTGGTAGGTAAAAAATATTTATAATAATGTAGTTTACAACTGATTTCTTTTAAATTAAAAGATATTAAAATTAGACCAGGTTAGAGTTTATGCTTACACTAAGTTCAATTTGTTTGCATTCTAATATGACTTTGTGAGGAAGAGTTTGGTACAGATTTCCTGAGTTTATATGAACATTTTACATTAATCTTTATTTGGGAAGAATATTTTCACTGATTAAAAATCCCCCACCTCGCCGAAATCGGCTTGGTTCAGTGGATAGAGCGTCGGCCTGCGGACTGAAAGGTCCCAGATTCTATTCTGGTAAAGGGCATGTACCTTGGTTGTGGGCACATCCCCAGTAGGGGGTGTGCAGAAGGCAGCTAATCGATGTTTCTCTATCATCAATGTTTCTAACTTTCTGTCCTTCTCTCTTCTTCTCTGTAAAAAATCAATTAAAAAATATTTTTTTAAAAATCCCCCACCTCCATTTTTTGGTCTTTCATTACTTTATTAATGTGATTCCTTCATCTCTTGTCATGTATTGTTTCTAATGAACATTTAACCATCATTTTTATCTGGCCCACTGTTTTCTCTGGCTTCTTTATGGTTTTACCTTTTTTTTTTTTTTTTTTAAATATATTTTATTGATTTTTTTTACAGAGAGGAGGAAAGAGGGATAGAGAGCTAGAAACGTCGATGAGAGAAACATCGACCAGCTGCCTCTTGCACATCCTCTACCGGGTGTGCCCGCAACCAATGTACATGCCCTTGACTGGAATCGAACATGGGAACTTTCAGTCCGCAGACCGACGCTCTACCACTGAGCCAAACCAGTTTTGGCTGATTTTACCTTTTAAATCCTTAAAATCTTAAAGAAAACACAGGCTTTAAGGTTGCCAGGAAGTAATACATTTACCGGTACTATTTTTTCCTTTACATTTGAAACCTCTTATTCAGAGTGGACTGGTGGTAGTTTTCAGTTCTTTTAAAAAGTATTATTAAAGCAAGAAATCATTTTTTTTAGCCTGGCCCATGAGGCTCAATGTTGAGCATTAGCCTATGAACTTCTGTTTGTCCCTGACAAGTGCCCCTGTGTTATTTTAGAAATATGTCAGTGTTGGTAGGATTTTCTTACATAGGAATTAGAAAATCCTAGTCACAGAAAACAGTGTATTGATTACCAGAGGGAAAGGGGGGTGAGGGAAGATAACAGAGGGTAAAAGGGGTGCCCAGCTGGTGGTGCTCAGTGGTTGAGTATCAACCCATGAACAGTTTGATTCCCAGTTAGGGCACATGCCTGGATTGCAGGCTCTATCCCCAGTAGATGATCTCTCATCATTGATGTTTCTTTCTCTCCCTATTCCTTCCTCTGAAATCAATTAAAAACATATATTAAAAAATAAAGAAGAAGAGGGGAAAGAGGACATAAACAGTGATGGAAGGAGACTTGGGGTGGTAAACACACAGTCCAATACACAGATGATATATTATAGAATTGTACCCCTGAAACCTATATAATTTTATTAACCAACTAGAGGCCTGGTGCATGGATTCATGCACTGGTGAGGTCCCTCGGCCTGTCCTGCAGTGATTGGGCCGAAACTGGCAGTCCAACATACCCTAAGGGGTCCCAAATTGCGAAAGGGCACAGGCCAGGCCAAGAACCCACAGTGCACGAATCCATGCACCAGGCCTCTAATATACATATTAGATCTTTGGTTAATCTCTTACCCTCTTTTCTCCCCCGTTGCTCCTTCCCTCTGAGATTCATCAGTCTGTTCCATGTTTCCATGCCTGTGCATTGAGCATCTGCCCCCTGGTGATCAGTTCATGTCATAACAAACTGGTGGACACTTAGCATATTAACCTTTTATATATATAGATGTCACCCCAATAAATTAAATTAAAAAGAAAAATAAATTAAAATAAACAGTACTCCCATAGAATCGGCAAAATATTTTTGCCACCTACCTACCCATTTTGCTTTATTTTTTGAATAATAGGACAAAATGATTTTTTCTGTTAAAAAGTGTGAATAAATTTGCAAACCATCATGTTGCAAATGGCAGGATTGGGTTCTCTTTTGTTGCTGAGTAATATTGCATTGTATATACAGTATGTGCCACTTCTTTATTTATTCATCTATCGATGGACACTTATGTTGCTTGCATATCTTGGCTATCTGGTACAATAAAGAGGTAAAATTCAATTTTAAAGTTGAATAAATTATTACACTTGCCGTATATTATTGCTTTCCCTGGTTAAAAGATGAAAGCTTCTAGATTGAGTTAACATAAAAATCCTGCTTTACTGTTTAAAGCAAGTGATATAAATATTAGGATAAGCAAAGATATATACAGATTGATGACAGAAGCAAAGAGTGGTACCTAATACTAAACAAAATGGAATTCAGGGAGATTGGGGAATGGTTCAGTGAAACAAGAATACTAGTTTATGTTGATAAAACTAATATCTATTAAATGGATTTGACGACCATGAACCTTTTTGCACCAAGTATTTACCATTGAAGTATTTAAAGCAAAAGCTGGTAACTAAATCTCTAAAGAATTTGAATAACACAGCATGATTTTATAGCTACAGATACAAGTGCAAACAATGCATTTGCTATGCAGATGCCAATGGAATATTAATGGAAATACCATGTGATAGGTGATAGAGAAAACCTGACAAATTCCCAAAAGTAGGTGTTATAGATTAGATTTGTCCGACTTAAAACTTAACCATAAAACTGTTATGTTAAAGAGGACATCAAGATTGAGATTTCAGACTATTTAGAAATACAGAGGGGGCAAAAGTAGATTTATACTGTTCATAATAATTAATAAACAAATAATACAAGAATAAACACTGTTTTGCATACTCACAACTATATTGTTGATTATTCCAGTTCACTTTCTTCACCCATCCCTCCACCCTTCTCCCCTCTGACAGCCATTAGTTTGTTCTTTGTTTCTGTGAGTCTGTTTTTGTTTTGTTTTATTTGTTTGTTTTTTAATCCACATGTAAGTAAAATCATGTGGTATTTGTTTTTCTCTGTCTGACTTATTTCACCATGGTGTTGCAAATGGCAGGTTTGGGTTCTTTTTTGTTGCTGAGTAATATTGCACTGTATATACAGAATGTGTCATTTCTTTATTTATTCATCTATCGAGGACACCTATGTTGCTTGCATATCTTGGCTATCTGGTATAATAAAGAGGTAATATGCAAATTAACCCTCACACCCTCACAAGATAGCTGTCTTTGACCAGGCCAACAGGGGAGTTAGTGAGGGGTGACCAAATGACTGAACAAGCAGGCTGTGGGGGTGACCAGGTTGGCAGGAGGGTAGTGCATTGGGGGTGACTAGGCCAGCAGAGGGGGCAATTGGGGGTGACCAGACCAACAGGAGGGGCAATTAGGGGCAATCAGGCTGGCAGAGGGGGGCAGTTGAAGGTGACCAGGTCAGAGGGGGTTAGTTGGAGGCGACCAGGCCAGCGGGGGGTGGGGGAAGAGACAATAAGAGGCAACCAGACCAGTTGGGGGCGGAGGGCATTTAGGGACGACCAGGCCAGCGGGGGGATGCAGTTGGAGGAGACCAGGCCAGCAGATGGGGCTGTTGGGGACAATCAGACTAGCAGGGGGGACAGTGAGGGGTGACTAGGCCAGTGAGAGGGGGAAGTTGGGGATGACCAGGCGGTGAGGAGGGCAGTAAGGGATAACCAGGCTGGCGGGGGGAGTGGGGGAGAGTTAGGAGCGACCAGGCTGACAGGGAGGGGGCAGTTGAGGACGACCTGGCTAACAGTGGGTAGCAGTTAGGGGCAACCAGGCCCGCACGGGGAGTTGGGGGGTCAACTAGGGCCAATTAGACTGGCATGCAGAGGCAGTGTGAGGCAATCAGGCCAGCAGCTGGAGGGTGAGCAATTAGGGGTGACCATGTAGGCAGGCAGGTAAGCGATTAGGAGCCAGCAGTCCAGGATTGTGAGAGGGATGTCCTAGATTGGAGAGGGTGCAGGCTGGGCTGAGGGGACACCCTTCCCTCCCTCCCATGCACCAGGCCTCTTGTAAATAATGCTTCAATGAACATAGGGGTGCATATGTCTTTTTGAATTAGTGGTTTCACTTTCATACCCAGAAGTATTGCTGAGTCTTATGGTAGATTTAGTTTTCCAAAGAATATATATTTTGAATATCAGAATCTCTTTTTTTTAATTTATTTATTTTTTTATTGATTTTTTACAGAGAGGAAGAGAGAGGGATAGAGAGTTAGAAACATCAATGAGAGAGAATTGTCGATCAGCTGCCTCTTGCACACACCCCACCGGGGATGTGCTCTCAACCAAGGCACATGCCCCTGACTGGGATTGAACCCAGGACCTTTCAGTCTGCAGGCCGATGCTCTATCCACTGAACCAAACCTGTTTCGACAATATCAAAATCTCTTATTGGACATGTCATTTGAAAATATATTCTCTCATTTTATAGGTTGTCATTTTGTTTTGTTGATCATTTTCTTCACTATGCAGAAGCTTTTAGTTTAATGAAGTCCAATTTGTTTTGAGTTTATTTTTGTATGTGGTATAAGATAATGGTTCAGTTTCATTTTTTTCTACATAATCTGTTCAGTTTTCCCAACACCAGTTAAAAAAATATCAGCCGGGACCGGTTTGGCTCAATGGATAGAGCGTCAGCTTGGAGACTGAAATGTCCCCGGTTCGATTCTGGTCAAGGGCATGTACCTTGGTTGCGGGCATATCCCCAGTAGGGGGTGTGCAAGAGACAGCTGATCGATGACTCTCTCTCATCGGTGTTTCTAACTCTCTATCTCTCTCCCTTCCTCTCTGTACAAAATCAATAAAATATATTAAAAAATAATAATAAAAATAAATAAAATAAAAAAATATCATTTTTCCATTGTATAATCTTCCCTCCTTGTCTTAAATTAATTGACCTTATAACAAGGGTTTATCTTGGGGCTGTGTCTGTCTTTGTCACTATGTTACTGTTATGATTATTATAGTTTTGTAGAATAGTTTGAAGCAGGACGTGTGATACTTTCAACCTTGTTCTTCCTTCTCAAGACTGCTTGGCTACTTGTGGTCTTTTGTGATTCCATATAAGTTTTAGAATTATTCTTGTTGTGAAAAGAATGCCATTGGTATTTTGCTGTGGATTGCATTGAATCTATAGATTACTTTGTGTAGTATGATCACTGTAATGAAAATAATCCTTCCAATCTAAGAGCGTGGCATATCCTTCCATTTATTTTTGTCCTCTTCAGTTTCTTTCTTCAATGTCTTATAGTTTTCAAAATACAGGTCTTTCATCTCCTTGGTTAAATTTATTCCTTAAGGTATTTTATTATTTTATTATTTTTGATGCATTAACATGGGGTTGTTTTCTTAATTTCTCTTACGATCATTCATTATTAGAGTATAGAAACATGACAGATTTCTATATATTTTAGCTTTATTGAGCTCATTTATTAGTTCTAATCCATTTTCGTGTGGAATTTTTAGGGTTCTCTCTATATAGTATCATGTCATCTGCAAATAGTGATACTTTTACTTTTTTCTTTCCAATTTGGGTGACTTCTACTTCTTTTTCCTGTCTGGTTGCTGTGGCTAGTACTTCCAGTACTATATTGAATAATAGTTGTGAGAATGGACATCTTTGTCTTGTTCCTGATCTTAGAGGAAAAGAATTGAGAATGATGTTAGCTGTGGGCTGGTCATAGATAGCCTTTATCATCATGAAGTAAGTTTCTTCTGTACACACTTTGTTGAGAGATTTTATCATAAATGAATATTGAATTTTGTCAAATTCTTTTCTTCATCTATTGAGATGATCATGGATTCTTATTGTTGGTTTTGTTAATGTTCTGTGTCACAGTAATTGTTTTGTGGATATTAAACCATTCTTGTATCCATTATATAAATTCCCCTGGATCATGGAGTAAGATCTTTTTAATATTGTTGAATTTGGTTTACTAGTATTTTGTTACGAATTTTTACATCTGTGTTTATCAGGGAAATTGGCCTGTAATTCTTTTTGTAGTGTCTTTGTCTGGTTTTGGTATCAGGGTAATGTCAGCCTCATAGAATGAGTGTGGAAAAGTTCCTTAATCTTTAATTTTTTGGAACAGTTTGAGAAAGATAGGTTTTTATTCTTTTTTAAATGGTAGAATTCACCTGGGAATGAGTTTGGTCCTGAACTTTTATTTGTTGGGATTTTTTTTTAATTGATTTCAGAGAGGAAGGGAGAGGGAGAGAGAAAGAGAGAAACATCAATGATAAGAGAGAATCATTGACTGGCTGCTTCCTGCATGCCCGTTATTGGGGATCAAGTCCAAACCTGGGTATGTGCCCTGACAGGGAATCGAACTGTGCCCTCCTGGTTCATAGGTCAACACAGTCAACCAGTGAGCCACACCAGCCAGGCAGGAGTTTTGTGTGTTTTTTTAATTACTGTTTCAGTTTCATTGCTAGTACTAGGTCTGTTCAGATTGTTTTCTTCTTGGCTTAGTCTTGAACGATTGCATGTCTCTAGAAATTTATCCATTTCTCCTAGATTGCCCAATTTGTTGGCATATAATTGTTCCTCGTACAAGTTAATGATCTTTTGTATTTCTGTAGAGTCAACTGTAATCTCTTGCATTTTTTATTTTTATTTATGTGGGCTCTTTTTTTTATGAGTATTACTAGAGATTTGTCAGTTTTGTTTATTGTTGCAGAAAATCAGCTTTTAGTTTCATTGATCTTTTTAATTTTTTCTTTTGTCTTTATTTCCCCTCTGATCTTTATTATTTCCTTCCTTCCATGTAGTTGGGGATTCAATGCTTCCTGTGTGCCCACTTCCTGGTTCATAGACAGCTGACTTCCCCTGTGTCTTCCCATGGTGGAAGGAACTAGGGTTCTCTGGGGGATTCCTTTTATGAGAACACTAATCCCCTTCATGAGAGCAGAGCCCCAATTACCTCTCAAAGACCCCACATCCAAATACTAGTAGTAAATTGGGGATTAGGCCCCAATATATGAATTTTGAGAAGGACACAAACATTCAGCAAGTATATAGTTTAAACATAAGTTAAAACCTGTGTTTTTTTAAAATGTATAAAAAATCTTCTATATTTCAATAGAAATGCGTATGTAAGTTCAGCAAAGGAATTTAGAACCCCACCAATGCACAAATTTGTGCACTGGGCCTCTAGTCTTTGATAACAGGATTCATTATACAATAATGTAAACTATGAAGCATGCTATCAAGTGTTGGTTTTTTTTCTCTCTGTAAAAGTTGCATAATGGGCCATCTTAAAATCTGTGACATCTTAGATTGAATTAAATCAAGCCTACATATATATACATACATATATACATATATCTATATACATGCATATTTTATGAAATCAAATATACACATACACACTCACACTTAAACACTCACATGAAATGAGACCCAACTCAAAATTCCTCCAAGCTTTACAGTAAAGTCTCATCTGTAGCCATGATGTTTGTCTTTCTTGGTCACTTTTTAACTGGTTGCTTTTCAGTGTAATGAAAATTTATTGCACAGTGAAGTTATAAATATTGGAAAATTTGCAGCCTGTGATAGGGATGTTGGAGAACTATTTAATTCACCCTCAAGCCCAATGGCTTGAATCTTGTTTAATTTTTTCAAGCTGAACTCAATCAGGGTTTCTTTCTCCCCAGTTACTGTGAACGTTTGGTCTTCTTTTCAGGTGTATTCACTTAAAGCGGCCCATGTGCAATGCCAGTTACCCTCAGGAGGGAAAGATCACTTACATGTTATGTTGTGCAGGTGGCATTTCAACAGAAAGTAATGACTCACCGTAGTTGCATTTCTCTCTCACAAATGTAAATTCCAGGTAGATTAAATTTCTAACATGAAAACAAGAAATTTAGAGTATAGGAAAACAATGCTTTCTTAAAAGCATGCTTTCTCGATGGGAGTGATGTTGAGCCCAAAGGGGAATAAATTGGTTCAGAGGAAGTGAAAAAAATCTCAGCTATTAGAATGTTTCGGCCCTCTGAAGGGCCACCACAGTACACATCAACCGATATGCAGGATGTTAGGTATTAAAATTTCATGGGGAAAAGAGGCAATTAGGAAAAAAAGTCTAAAAAGGCTCCTTAATAGGGTTGATAATGAAAAAACATTTGAAGAACACTGCAATAGAGAAAAAGTGACAGATTCTACAAAAACATTTATGTTAAACGTTCGATTATAAAAGACACCACAAACACAATTAAAAGGCAAGTGACAGATTGGGAGAAGAGAGTTTACAACTTACAGAATGGACAGAGGAGTATAATTTTTAATGTATTAGATTCCTACAAATTGTTAACAAAAACAAGAGAAACGTGGAGTTGGTGTTGGCTTTATTTACTCCACTCAGTCTGTTTGGTGTTCATTAGAGTAAAGGGCCATCTGTATTTCAAAAGGAATTACACGTAGCACCTTTTGGGGCCCCTTCAGTTTTAGACATTTTAAATTTTTGGAGGTATGTCATCACAGAGTTGAAATAAATAATGTAGAATGGAAAAATCCATTTAGTTTTTTTTTCTTTGCTATATTATGCCTGTTTCTAATTTCCGAATGAAGTACATTATTGACTAGCAGTTTTTGTTTTTATTTTTAAGAATATGGGGGTGCATTGTATTTGCAGTCACACCAAAATATTTTTATCCTATCAGGATGATTTTGGCTATTTTATGTGTGTTTATTTAAAAGAAGTTATAGAAATTCTCGTGGTGAGATATTTAGAATAGTTACTCAAATACATTGTTTTATGTCAATGGGTATTAAATAAGTAGCCTAAATATTTGCACGTTAAACATGCTAAACTAAATATTAAAATTTTAAATATTAATGTTTTTGTTACTTTAAAAGTTAATCAGAATTACTAACATGTCTCATAACTGCAATTAAATACATCTATTTGGTCTCTTTCTGTGTATTTTATTTTGTTTGTTTATTTGTTTTCATCTGGCTTTTTATTAGCAATCCAGTGGGGAGAAGATGGCCGTCCATTTCATTATCTCTTTTATACTGGCAAGCAGTCATATTACTCATTAATGCATGTAAGTATATTACATTTATGATAAATAATAGGAACTGTAAGCTAACTGATTATACCAGAGATTTTGCTAAGCTTCGCGGTTCATAATGGACAAAAATAGAACTTTTAGAGGTAAAACAGAATGTTAAAAACTTTATATTTTATTCATTTTTCTCAAGATAAACATCATAGAATTTATAAAAGAATGGTTGTTTGCTAATGCTTTTACTTACAAATTGAGATCCTGTTAGCAGATAGTGCGTGTGTGTGCAATACAGGTAAAACGTGAGGCAGGGCAAGGCCGAGTCTCTGAATCTCTGTGGAGTGTGGTGGGAGCTACAAGGCACCTTGGGAGAGAGTCAGACAGTTAACTGTATTTGTTACTTAGGTACAGTTGTTGCTCTTCATAGACTTAGGCAGTGTATGAGTCTAGCAAGCCTAGAAAAAAGACCCAAGAAATTATTTTATTATGTTGACTTCCACCTGCATTGGAGTTTCCTGGAAGTTTCCTTTTCAGAGCCTGTGTGTGATAGCGAGTAAACTCGGGAATTCCCCAGAATAACTGGGGGAGACCTGGATGCCAGTATCCAGGTTTGAGCAACAGAACCCATTTCATCCTTAGAACATGTCCAGTTTTACTTTATTCATTGTGTGACTTTTTAGAGTATTTATTGGATCCCCTCCCTCCCCACCCCCCATTTTCCCACACACCCCCCGATTTCAGGCTGCTTAAATCCCATGCACTCATCCCCGCTGCTCTTTAGACTGATAAACCCAGAGGACAGGATCCTCACTTGTCAGGTACATTTATTTCTTGGGGGACAAAAAAAGAAAACCTTATTTTCGTTTTTGTTGACCTTGGGCAAATGAGCTTCTTGCCCTGGCAGAAATGAAATGAATGATAAATGCAGAGTGTATCTTTGCTGAGTAATGGAGCTGAGGCGCAGGCGTTCCGGAGGTTGTCTGTGCGCAGCCCGAGGCTGCCGCGGCCCCCTGCTGTTCATTTAAATAGGTATGTCAGATCTGCCGCACCGCCGCGGTTTGATCTGTGGTAATATTTGTGAAGGTTCCATATGGACGTGAGCCCCCTGCAGTGCTCAGAAATAATGTACAACGCTTCATGGTGCAGACGCAAATTTCCTCTGAAAAGGGATGCGGCGTGCGTTTTAGCTGTCGGAGGGGATGATGGAGCTGACGCGCCAGGCCTGTCAACTTGTTACACGGATGGGTTGCACGCAGCGAAGCTGTGGAAAATCTGTGCCTTTTAACTTTTCTACTTAATCACGGCTGTAGCATTGCCTTTAGACTGTATGCTACATTAATTCCCTTCCTGCCTTCTGCCTTTCATCCCAAGTTTCACGGGAGAAAGTAAAGCATGCAGGTCTTGTGCAGGCGCCTCATCAAACAGCTGTCAACCCGCAAGCCATTTGCATTTGTTCTGGCTGAAACCGCGCAACCCAAGGGCAAGATGTTTTGTTGCATTCCATCATAATGAAGAAATTACACATCGTGAGAGAGGCCTAACTTTATTTTCAGTTTGCTTATGTCTTTTAAAAAGGTATTGCTCAAGAAACTGGTTAATTTCTCAGTGGATAGAATATTAGCATACTCGGACTAAACAGTCAAATTATGTCTGGTAAATAAATATTCTTTCTTTTTGAGTAGTATGGTTCCTGTTACATACAGTAGAGTTCTTTGGCTTTTCTATTTCAGTTAAATTCTGTAATTTAATTTAGGTCAGTTTGTTTTTCTTGGATGTTTTGAACTTCCCAAACTGTATGGGGGTTAGCGTTTGTTTTATTGCTGATCAGAACAATTCAGATAGGAATTACAGACACTTGAGGTTAACTTAAGCATTTTAATTTTAATTCAGATAATCATAAAACTGTGTATTGTCAACAGTGTGTCTTGTGGAATTTTAAAGTACTTATATGTGTGGAGGAAAGGATAAAATGTTTTCCTAAATCTATGGCTGTCGCTTTAGCATAGCGTGTGGCACTTGTTATTAATTACAGCTCTCGTCGCACCGGTCTCCTTTCCAAGATCACGCAGACCAGCATCACCTCAGATTCGGTTTGCTGCTTTAAGTAGCATGTGACTCAGTGCTTGCTGGTGGGCTTACAGGGATGGTTTTGTAGTGAAGTCAAGTCCTGCGCATAAAAAGTAAAACAATGAAAACGGAAACTGCTCCGCGTGTTCGCTCTCCTTTGTTCCGCCGTCTCTGGCGGCGGGGCTGCTCCGTCCTCTGTGTTAGGAGTCACTCCTGCCCTCCCGCTGCAGCAAGGGACAGGCCCAGACACTGTGGGGCGCCCAGTACTTAGAAATAAATGTTGTTGTTTCCATTTCTTTTTGTTGATACAATTCTTTCCATGTGAAAAGGACACTGGGCCAAATCAGTTTTCCCAACTGAAGCGTGGCAGTCATCGGCCAAGCTTTCTGACACAGACTCGGGCCTAGAGCATGTGTGCAGTTCTGCCAGGAGACCATTCTGTCCTTTGTGCCAGTCTCCTTTTAGTATATGGTCACTGCTTGCATGTTGAGCTTATATATTACACTATAGCCCTGATACAGCTTACAGTTAAGGATACATAATGCTTTAGTGAACACTGTCCAGTTGGCCTATAATTGACCATCTAATTTTTGTGGAGAAGCAGGGAGATTTTTGAGGGAGGATAGAGATGAAAAGGAAGAAGCCATTTATTGTTCCGTTGAAGTGAAGTATAGGGAAGAATGAAGTGAAGGGAATTTTGCTGGCCCCTGGGGTCTCTGACTGTGTGTTCCATTCTGGAGGTTCGTTAGCAGGTGAGTTAGCGCTGCGTGTTCCTGTGGACAGTGGCACACGCTTCACACTCCGGGGGAAGCTGGTGACATGCCGCTTGCAGCGAATATGATGTCCATGTGTAGTGAGAAAAGGTATGAAACCGTGCTAGCAGCTGATTCCTTAAGCAATAAAAAGTCCTTTAAGTAAGAAGCAGCAGGAGACTTCAAGAGTCTCGCAAAGGGTGGTGAGAACTGAAAAGGGAGCTCCTGCCTGGAAGGCACTGCTCATCTGTGTTTTTTCACTCGAATGGATGGCTTTCCGTTTAACAGCCGCTTATCCAACAGAACTTGTGTACTTTTTAGACACGACTTAAGAGTTTCAGTTTAGGGATTCAGGAGCAGAATGAAGGACTAGAGGAAGAATAAAAGACGTTTCCTACAACAGCTGAGCAGAAGCGTAAAGGAAAGGGAAGACTTGTTAAAGAGGAACGTCTGTGCATGAAGAAAACGTTAGGCCATTGAACAACGGAGTTGTGAGTGGTGGGGCCTGGGTGAGGGACCGGAAAGGGACGGGCCAGAAGAACATGCTCTCTGGGTGCCCCCGCCTGCCAGGGTACCCTTGTCCGCAGCAGGTGGAGCCTGCTCAGCCGACCGAGCCAGAGCGTGGGCTGCAGCCCTGAGCGAGGTGATGGCCACCTGCGTAGTCATGGATGAGTTTGGCCTCAGGTCCTTTGATTTTTAGAAAAAGGTTAATTCAGATTGACTTATTAATACATACATTTCTGAAATTTTTAAAATCCACTCACAAAAAACTGAGTTTGAAATTATCTAAAACTCATTATAGGGGGTGATCATTTCACTCTGAAGTGGGAACTCGTTTGTAAAATATGATTCATTACGGCCCCATGTTCATAATGCAGTTTTCCCAATGTGTTTCCTGAGGCTCACAGATTATAAAATAATCTCCAAGAAAGGGTTTCTGAAAATAAGTCAGTGTGGAAGACGGCAGGCTGAGAAACTAATAAGAAGGCCCTTCTCAGTGAGAACAGCTCTGCGAAGTCCTTCGGTGAGAAAACGTGTGCCATGACCCACCGCTGCTGGAACATGCTGGATCCCGGAGCCCTTTCTGCCCAGAACACCTTCTAAAAATCCGGGAAACTAGTGCATGGGAAAGGCTGCAAAGCGGACTGAAACACTAAGCTGTCGAGTACAGGGAGAGTTTATTGAAATTTTACATGAGCTCTCCTCCCCAGTCTCTAAGATAAAATTAGCTCTAAAAATGCAGTGGAAATAATAATCTTATAGAAATCTCATTGATAGTTTAGGGCACGTTTTACAGTAAACCATGGAGTATTTTCAAAGTATTTTTATAAATTGAAGGAATCACATGGTCACAGATGAAATTTTTACTCCAATAAAAGTATACGTAGATCATTATATACTTAAAACTACTCTGCTGAATTTTTAAAACTTGGAAACAAAACCAAGCAATTCCGATCACTTACGCATAAGCAAGACTTGTCGTCTTTGGAAGAAGCCTCTTTAGGAACCCCCAGTTAGTTTTAAGCCATTGGGGTGGCTGTGGCCTGTGCAGGCAGCGGAGCAGCCAGGGCGGCGGGCTCCTCCGGGGGGCCTCCAGGCTCCAGACAGCCCTCTCCTGGGCCCTGGAGGCCCGGGGCCTCACTCCTCACAGCGCTGATGCCTCGCGGTGCATACTGAAAGCTCCTGAGGAACTGAGTTTACCTGTAAAATGGAATTGAAACAGTGAGCCTCTCACAGTGAGGTATTATGAAATACCTACTGTATGTAAAGGGCTTGGTTTTGGAAAGCTGCAGAGGGATGCTGGCATTGCCGTGTGCTGTTTTAAGACTTCTTGACAGCAGGAGTCAATTCTTGAATTAACTCAGCAATAGAAACTGCTGTTCCTGAAGTATCTTTAATATGCATAGAATAATTACCATTTTATATCTTGCATGTACTAAATGTAACAATTAAAACATTAAATTTTAAAAGCTGATTCAACTTATTACCTCTGTGGTTTTAATCAGATTACTCTTATAATGGTATAATTGTTATTATAATATGTGGTGGAGCCTTACTTTGAATAGTAAAAGTATATGGTATGAGAGTTACGAGCTTTTTTATGTAATTACTCCTGGGTGTGCTTTCCCAAAGTACTTTTCTGTATGCCATGTATAAGAGTCTGCTTCCCCTTTTATGTTGACTGGCACTGTATGATGTGTAAACCACATAGCACATTGTTTTCACAGCGTGATAGCAAGAGTATACAGTAGAACTGTGTCACTTGGAACTTTAAATAGCAGAAAGCATGACTAATGAATTATATTTATATTTATTTCATTTGATTTTGTATATGCCAATAGCCATAAAATTGAGAAGAATGTTATTTAGGAAATTGATTTTCTGTGATTAAAAAAAGCACACAAATACATAATTTTAACTGTTACTTTTCTGTTTGTGTCTAGTATCTAAGATGATAATTACTAGTATGTTACTGTAAATAAGTATATCAAAATTCAACTGACTTTTCCTATACCATTCTCCCAAGAAATGTTATTTGTTTACCCTTCCTAAATTTAGAATTTCTACATGATTAATATAACTGAAACAGGTTTTAGAGGACTAAAATCAGCTTTTTTTAGACCAAAAATCATACTGCTCAGAAGGGTTTAGTTTAAGCACTTTTTTCCTGAACCTGAGCATCTGGTATGTTCAAATTAGGCACCTTCTAAATTTGACTCATGCATTATGGAAATCTGATGGCACAAGGGTAGATAGGCTCACTTTGATTTTATGAAATATTAATCATAACTGTGATTAATGATTCAGCATTTCACATCTGGGTTATTCCTGTCATATTTTTAAAAGATACTATTAAATACAGTATACAAACTTAGTGTCATACTAATTCTCTAGTGTCCCTTAAAAATTAAGTGGAAATTTAACAGTATACCAGAAGCTACCAGTGATAATCTGTGATACTGACAGTTCCTGGCATATTTTATACCCTCAAGGATTTTTTTAATGTAAATTAGTACACATCTCTTTAGGGAGTTGAAGCTATAGAGTCTACTTTCCAGAGAACTCTTGTTTCTAACCAAGATGGAATTTCAAGAATGGTTGTATTATGCAGTGGGGGGGAGAGGGGGGAACAGAAATGGTGCACCAGGAAGATGGTTTCTCCGTTATTAGGCTCCTGGATGTCAAACGTCCCGCTGCTGCCATGTCATGCCCATTAGCATAGGTCAGGCACCGTGCTCACTGGTTTACATACATTTTCCTATTTGAAGAAATAGAAGTAATGAGTATTATGTAATTTGACAGGTTACAGCCATCAGTGTGTTAACATTTGTCTCGAACAGAATTTACTGAGCTTGAAATTTGACATGAACTTTGTTATTTTCTCATATTTTTCTGGTTATTTTACTTGCATTATTTATAAATTATTATGGAGCCACATGGAACACTGGATAGTAATGGCATAGTGAAAGAAAACAGTAAGAAAAAAATATATGAATTTAAAGTAAAATTGCTCAAAAATCACCCGAAAATGATGATGAATTTAGCAGCCCAAACTCTGACTTGAAACTTTCCTGTGAAGCAGGTCAGTTATTTTTATTTTAGTTGCCTTGGTTATTCCAGAAAATTAAATAGACCTCACAAGGAAGGGAGACTATCTTATTACTGGTGTTGGTGTTCTCTTGGATTTCTATTTCCTTAACTAGATCGAAACATGCAACATCTGTGACTTACCCACTCAGAGTCTTTTTTTTCCTTTTTTTATTAATCCTCACTCGAATATATTTTTCCATTGATTTTTAGAGAGTGTTGAAGGGAGAGGGAGAGGGAGAGGGAGAGGGAGAGGGAGAGAGAAAGTTGCCTCGTGCACATATCCTGACCCGGGCCGGGGATTGAGCTTGCAACCAAGATACATGACTGGAATTGAACCCCAGACCCTTCCATTCACTGGCTGAGGACACTCTGTCCACTGAGCCAAACCGGTCAGGGCTAACTAGCACCATCCTTTACCAGTGTCCCCAAACAGGGCAGTCTGGCTGGGTCCGGTGCCCGGTGTGGTGCTGTTTGTACTGTGTCTGTTCGCTTCTCACACATGCGGGAGGATCGTTCCCTTTTATTTTAGCTATTAGAGGCTTTCTCAAAACAAGTGCATAGAATTTTTTCTGATATACTATTTGATCCTTTAGAAATGAGTCAGAAGTTCCCTAACCACAGTCAAATGAGGCTCATGGGAGGCAGTTGTAAAGTTTAAGTTGAATAGTAGGAGCATGTTTTATCTGTGATGCTTCATGTTAGGTTTTGCTTTCTTTAGTGTGGACAGGTGGTGCACATTCGTTTTGCTGCTGCTGCAGCTGATGGGTTTGTACGTTGGCTGTAGCTGTAGAGATAGCTATCCTTAATGGACACTAGAAGCAGATTAACTTAGTTTGTCCTCTTGCTTTCGTATCGAACCAGGCTCTCGACAGGTCTAGTGTGCAGATCCAAGCGTGACTGCACATCTCCTGGGGGCATCATTAAACAGGTCGCTGGCCTTGCCAAGGTTCCTCTTCAGAAAGACTGGTGAGGGGCCTGCGAAGTCCTCACCTGAGGATATTTCTCCATTGATTTTTAGGGAGAGTGGAATAGAGGGAAAGACAGAGAGAAACACATTGATTGGTTGCCTCTTGTATGAGCCCCTACCAGGGCCCGGGCCATGGAGCAACCTACAACGTCCAGAGGTGCATGCTTCTGCCGGAATCGAACCCAGGACTCTTTGGTCTGCAGGCCAACGCTCTAACCACTAAGCAAACCAGCTAGGGTGAGAAGTGCCATTTCTAACCATTCTTAGGCTTGCATGCTGCTGCTGGCCTGGCCTTTACAATTCCTGAACTAGTTGGAATACTCAAGTCCACCGTTAGAACCTGTAGCTCAGCACATGTCATAGCTTCAGACTGCTGCTTCTCCTCTTCCTGCTGCTTTTCTTGTCTCTCATGAGCTGTCAGTGCTGCCAGCTCTGCTGAAAACAGGACAAAAGCTCTGCTGAGTCTCCCCAGCCACGAGAAATTACCTTTTACATCCTTACCGGGGAAAGTCTCAGCCCACAGTTAGCCTCGGCTCTTCTCAGCTGTGTCTGTGAAGCTCGAAGGCTCTGTTTAACTTCCTCTTTTCTTAAAAGTCTTCTTTGTTGAAAATGTTACCTATGTCCCCTTTTCCCCCTACATTCTTTTTTCTTTCCTTTTTTTAACATTCTGTCCCCCATGAGAGAAACAGACTCCTGAAAATAGGCTCCTGAATGAATAATGAAATGTAAGCAGTGGTAAATACAGAGACAGTGTCAAAGGGATACTTCTTTTTAGAACAACTGGCAGCATTGTGATATAACACGGCAGTCTCATCACAGCCCGTAAGAAATTGCCCCTCAAATTGGAAATGATTAGTTAAGACTGTCTGCGATCTGGGTGAGCATCTCTATCAGCAATAAGCTGTCTTCAGACATTCACTAATGACATTGGAAGGTGTCATGAGTAGTGAGGGGGAAAAACGTCACTCATACCATGTCTAACTCATTCTTTGGAAATGCCTCTTTGTTCGTTAGGTAAGTAGGTTATGTGTAATTATAGATGAATACTCACATATTGGATATGAGTCCAAATAAGTTTGCTCAAACAAAAAAAAATTGGGAAACAATTGCATTATTTTGTTTGTTGTAAACTCATTTCCTGGAAAATGTATTTTTGTTGATAAACCTGTATTGCCAAATTCTTAAAAAATGGCAAATTTCCCCCTATTTGTATTATAGTTTAACAAGTGCCATACATTCGCAGACTTTGTTGGAAAATAAATTAATAAAAAAGAAACAGATAATGAAAAATATAATAGAACACTTTTTAAGATACAAACTATATAGTGAGGTCTTAAATATTATGTAAATATACATGAGATAAGCACTTCAGCTGTAAATGCCATAACTTACTGGTAAATTCTCTTAACTTTAAAATATATATTGCTATATAAATTAAGATTTTTTTTTTCCTAAGGAAAATTTTTGTTCCTGTTTGTGGAACTCTAAGGAAAATAGTTTGTGGTTTCGTTTTGTTTTTACTAACCTTACTGGAATTGTGTCTTACAGTTACTTAAAAATTAGTTATTTAAAAATTAGTTAATGTATGCATTATACTAAATTCGCATTGAAATTACTCTCCCATTCCTGAGTTTGAGTGAGAAGTACCGTAGCATTCTTACAAAGCGTTTTCAGTGTTCCTTGCTATTCTTCTGGGTTATTTGAGGAGGGCACTTTTGAAGTAAGGGGTGCTCAGGGAAAATGTAAAGTGAAAGCAATAATGTACCATCACCCTTATTTTAACATGTGTATTTTTATTTGCCATAGGACGCATACGGAAAGATACTCGATATAGAAAAACATAAAAATCAGTTGCAAGCCAAAGGTCTGTTTTCAGAAAAGAATAAAACCATGTAAGTTCTTTTCTTCTATTAAAATATGTGAAAAATTTGAACTGACATGTCACTTATCATTGGTGTTTTTAAAGCATACCTTAAGCCTAAAAATTGGTTTAGTATTTCAGCATTGATCATTAAAATTAGAGGTCAAAATAATAGGTGATTTTTGTTGTTGTTGTTTGAGAGGAAGTAAATATTAAGATTATATTTTTATGTTACTTCTTTCCATGTTTAATATACTAAATGGTATTTGATAACTATATTTGAATTTGGCAGCCTCAGAATATTTGTGTATATAGCTACACATTTAACTTTTACACGCTTTAAATTTTTTTAGTATTTTAGGGTTTGTGCTTTCATTTAGCAAACAGTGATAGATTAGATGCATCATCCTGAGCAACCAGTTTTAAATTTCAGCCTGGTTGTTGACATTCTTATGCAAAAGACACAGTCTTTGAGCATGGCTTGTTGAGGCTGTAAATCCCAGGCCTGGCCCTTCATTTGGATGTGTTTCTACTTCATTGGCAGGTTCACGGCCACTCAAAGCATCTTCTGTGAAGTAAATTATGAAAAACAAGTGAACTTTTCATTTTTAAGAAATCTGATAGCTTTAATTATCAAATTAATTCCACAGTGGCATGTTAACTCTTCAAACAAAACATTTGCTTGATTGATTATCTTTCCTAGAGTAGATTGAGGGAAGTGAAAAATTATTTCTGAAAATTAGTTTACTTGGATGAAATTTTATGGCTATATAGTACAAAAATGTGTTTCCCAATCAAGAATTGCTACTACATGTGGGATCCTTTGTGGTATAACTCTAATTGCATGGTTAAATTAAAGGGGAATCTATGTGATATTTTAACAGAGACCTGATTGGCAGCAGATGGCTGATTAAGGAAGAACTAGAAGAAATGTTGGTGGAAAAACTGTCAGATCAAGATGTGAGTAATTACTCTGTAAAAAATCAATGAAAAAATATCCTCGGATGAGGATTAACAATGAAAGGGGGCGGGGGGAAGAGTAATTAATCCTTTTAGTTTAAGGGGATTTGTTCCCTAACAATGCAGACAGTATTGTATTTAGAATCCTAAAAGTGATGTTCCTCAGAGGTAGTTGTTCCTAAGACCATTTTTCTTTGATAACATATTTATAGCTGAAGTCTGCCCCCGGTCAGGACCTTGCCTGTGGCCAGGAAGGTGACATGCCTGGTCTCCAGACCCTCCTTGGGTACAGGCCCTCATGCCCTCTGCTTGTCATTCTAGGAAAGCCTGGTCTGTTGATGCCAGTTTTGACTTAAGTAAAGCAGGCAGTTCATCTTATAAGCTCATAAGTGTAAGGGGCTATTACAGGTCGAGTAGAAAAGTAGGAAGCCCGAGGTTACCTTCCTACAACGTGCTGCTTTTTGGCTTACCTACGTGCAGTATCTCGAGGCCACTGCTTTTCATCCTGGATCTGGAGAACCCCTGTGGCAGAATCACTTGGAATGCTGCTTACAAAATGCAGTCTTCATATTCAGACGTAGCTTGGGATTTCTAGGCGAGTCACCAGAATCAATATTTTTAACAAGCTGCCAGGTGAATGCTATATCCTCTTGCTTTTGATTCCTACTTTAAGTCTCAGATTGTTTACAAATGTCCTAATACATGCCAGTATCATCAGAGGAAATTTGATGGCTTACATATTTTTCTGTTCTAAATTTAGATAATTTTTAGAAGATTTCAGTGTAGATTAATTTTGAAATTGTTCCAAGAGTGTTTTTTCTTCCCTGGCAGTGGCTAACAGTGGTAGTGCCTTGCCACCAAGTAGGATTTAAGTCATGCACTGACCTTGCCCTTTTCCTCATTGAATATATTGGATAAATTAACGAATTGCTTAACCAAGGTGTCAGGCATTCAGTGAGGGGGCGGTAGGTCTGGAGGTAATTTCCAGCATCCTGACTGCCACGTCGGTGTTATTGAACTTGGATCTCATTGGGAAATCTCCCTTTGCTTCTCCATGGAACACTGCACTTCATGGTTTTCTGTTTCTGGTTGCTTTGATTTTCATACCGCAGAGTTGTGTTTTTCGTCTTGAAAACATTGCAAAGGCTTTATACAGGTGTGCATAGAGTGTTTGTGTGTCTTCTATCATTTTGGGAGTGGCTATCAGCTGAAGTCTGGTATCAAGATGAAGGAGGCAGGAACAGTCAGTGACTTCCTCAACTTCTTAGTTCATGAGCACGACTATATCATCTCTACAGTTACCCCTTGGTAGGTTCACCAGTAGTCACACTGTGTGCAGTGGAATTGAGAGAATCGCTGAGGACAAAGGATGTAGGCCTGTAGGTGGAGGGAATAATGGAGCTTTACCAGGCCAGCCTCTCTGGTGGCTGAGTTCTTCACCCATCGGAAAATGGCCTCCTTTTATTGTAACGTCACAGGGAGCAGAATGGAAGCAGTCCTTTTGCTCTGACCGGTGAGATTTTTCTATATTTCAAGTTACTAATGGCAGGTTTTCACTAAAGGCAATGGTAACAAAGACAATGTGGCTTTTAGGGTTGGCAGAAACGTAGAGAAGATTGTCAGAATTGGTTTCATACTGCACATACCTGAGGACCTCAAGTATTAGTTGTTTCCTTCTGCAAAAACACTTTAGAATGTTTATTCTGACTTCTAATTTTAAGGGGTTAATGCCAAGTTGTTTACTTTCTAATCACATGTTCAAGAACTATTAAAAAACGCACAGAGTAGCAAGGATGATAATTTATTTCAAGAGGTTGCCCTTTAAGTCAAGTGTCTCTTGAATTTTTAAATAGCTTGATTGTTCGGTTTTAAAGGAAATCATAAACATTAAAGTAACACAGCTTGAACAGCTACAGATATATTTGCCAAGTGTATTATGAAATATAATTTAAGAGTACATTTTCTCGAAATCAAACTCTTACATTTTGCTACACATAACTTACTGGAAATTATTTATGAAGCTCCTCTAAATATGGTTCTAATAAGAAGTAGAAATTACTCTTGAAGATCATCTAAATATTTTTTTGAAAATGAATTTAAATCTCAATTTCACGTCATCAAAATATGGAGAAGTTGACTTCTTTGAATGACATATCTCTTTGTTTCTCAAAGAAGTGAGTGAGCCCCGAAGGTCCACGGGCAAGCGCTGCGTCTGCTGCTGCGTTAAAAGCAGCGTGAAGGTGCACAAGTGTCATCCTGTCAAAGCCATCATGAAAGCAACGCTGGAAAGATCAGTCTATCAAAATAGAAAAAATTTAGCAAATGCAATTACACTTGCATCTTGTAATGAGTTTTTATTGTGTGCAGTACAGGCAGTTCGTGCAGCTGATGGAAAGGTTGCTGCAGAGCGGCGCTGCTGAAGAAGAATTTGTGCAGAGCTTCCGCCGGAGTGTCACTGTTCAATCAAAGCAGCAGCCCATCGAGCCCGTACAGCGTGACGCGCAGGGAATGGCCTTCAGCACCAGCGAAGGTAATGCATTCCACGGAGAGAAGTGAGCTTCATGACCACCGTGAAACTGCAGTGATTTTTCCTGCTATTGCACTCGGATTCATTCGACTGGCTTGTTTGTTTATTTTTGTTGCTACCTTGGAATTCCTCATTTTTAAGATTCTATTGAAGTTTGAAAAAGCAAGACCTTATAATGTCCTAAGAAAAAATGTGGACATATTCCTAGACAATCATATTAACACTTTTTATTTTCACATATTTATGTGAAATCTTTTTATTTTTACACTCTCAACTGTTAGAAACACTAAAACATTTATAATAAAGGTTTCTTATATAAAATGAAAGTGCCCATATATCTGTATATCAGAAGCTAAAACTATGAGACAGGAGAATTTTAGGCCCTTACTCACCTTCTCCTTGTAGGTGTGCAGACATTTGACATGGTGTAACTTGTAAAAATGAATGTACTAGCCTGGCTGGTGTGGCTCAGTGCTAGAGCATCAATCTATGAACCAAGAGGTCACAGGTCGATTTCCTGTCAGGGCACATGCCCAGGCTGCCAGCTCAATTCCTAGTGGGATATGCAGAAGGCAGCCATTGATGTTTCTGTCTGCTCCCTTCCTCTCTGAAATCAACAAAAATATATATTTTTTAAATTAATGTATTATATGCCTGCAACTCTTACCAATTTAACATCTTGTCTTGTCATTACTTTCATTTCTATCAATTATATTTTTTACTTTTCAAATATTTGAAAAATTATATGATTAAATATATTCTTATTGAATATAAAAGAACACTGTAAGTGGTTGACTTCTTAAAGTAATATAAATATGAATTACTTTGTTCCTTGTGAAAACTAACTTAAAATCATTGTAGTGTTTTTCAAATGGAATTGAAGAACAAAATTACCTCATAATAAGCTCTATTACATTGATTATGGCGTAGTTTATCTATTTTTGGTTGACTTGTGTAGTAGTCGTAGAGTTTCCTTTGTAGTGCTATATAATCGTTATTTGGAAGGAAAAAAAATTTAATGTGACTTTATTGTCTCAAAGCCCTGCTCTTTCAGATTTTTATTATTAGAAATTTTATATTTTTGAAGGTAAAAGAAAGAGTGCAAAAGCAGAGGCAGTTGTTTATGAACATGGAAGTGGAAGAATAAAAGTTAATGGCATCGATTACCTGCTTTACTTCCCTGTGTTACAGGACAGGTTAGTGTCTGGTTTTGCTTTTGCTTTTTGTTTTTAAAGAAAATATATTTCATCTTGATCAATTCATTAAGTCTTGTGATATTCTGATTGCATTTGTCTTTGTTAATGATTTTTTTTTTTTTTACTAATATAATTTATCAGACTAGCTAGAGGGAAGCTATCACTTTTTTGTCATATTTTCCCACAGATATCTCTTACATCCTGAAATGCAGACTGTGCCAAAATGTAAGAAAAGTAGATTTTCACTTTCTGTTTCCCTTGTTTAGGGGCGGCATAAACAAAACCAAACAACAACGAAAAGCAGCCCTGGTCATCATGCATATTAGAAAAAGTCCACTCTGTCACTTCAGATGTTTTGCTATTCAGAGGAAATAAATTATTATATGTATATGAGAGTCCCGGTGCACGAAATTCATGCATTGGTAGGCTCCCTAGGCCTGGCCAGCGACCAGGGCTGATTGAGGTCTTCTGGCTGCCAGCTGGGGCCTCCCTTCCCCTGCTGCCAGCTGCTGGCCAGGGTCTTACTTCATTCTGCGCTGTCCCCTGTGGTCAGTGCACATCATAGTCAGCGATTGGTCTGGTTGAACTCCCGTGGGGACAATTTGCATATTATGCTTTTATCTATATACTAGAGGCCCTTGCACGAAATTCGTGCACGGGGGGGCTTCCCTCAGCCAGGCCTGCACCCTCTCCAATCTGGGACCCTTCAGGGGATGTCCGACTGACGGTTTAGGCCTGACCCCACAGGGCCTAAACCAGCAGTCGGACATCACTATCATAATCTAGGACCACTGGCTCCTAACCGCTCACCTGCCTGTCTGCCTGATTACCTCTAACTGCCTCTGCATGCCTGCTTGATCACCCCCAACTGCCCTCCCCTGCCATCCTGATCTCACCCCTAACTGCTTGTTCCCTTGCCAGCCTGATCACCTCTAACTGCTTGCTCCCCTGCTCGCCTGATCACCTCTAACCGCCTCTGCCTCGGCCCCCCAACCATGGCTTTGTCCAGAAGGAAGTCGGATGTCTGAAAGATGTCCTGTTGACCCTAAGTCTAATTAGCATATTACCCTTTTATTAGCATAGATATAAATGCCAAGGGACCAGAACTACCGGTTACTTTGACGCACACTGCGTCCCCGATCAGGGGAAGAGCCAGCCAGCCAATTTTCTGCGTCCCTCCCCCTGGCTGGCCTGGACCTGATCAGCCCCAATCAGGGCAGGCCGGCCAGACCCCACCCATGCACGGATTTATGCATCGGACCTCTAGTAGATACAGATTGAGCAGCCTCTTCCACCTTAAATAAGAGCCCATGAAGGCTTGGCTGCACCCCAGTGCTAAGTATGGCGGTTTTCTTTCCGAGCTTTGTATCTCCTGGGAAACAGACAGGAATCACAGGAATCATTAGTGGGTGTTACAGTTCAGAGCCTCCACGTGTGCTCCTCTCAGGTCTCTGAGTCTCCTGCAAAGGCTTGTTCTTGAAACCGTTATTGTCTTTCCAGTATTTACTGTCATTATCCACAAGGAGCAGAGCTCTGCATGATTGCTCCTCCTTTCCGAATCCTCCTCCCGCTTCTTGAATGGGGAGAGGTTTTAAGGTCGGTGCATTTAGGGAAAGGGGACCTGCTGATGCAGTGTAAGCTGGGCAGAGTGATTTCTTCAGAAAACGTCTCTTTATCTGTGTGTGTCTGTGTCTGCTCTGACTCCATTTGATGTGAATTAAACTAATTCTGCCATCATCCTTGCAGGGGAACAGATGAGAAAGTTCTTATTTCTCTCATGAAAAGCTAGAGAGACCCATCATTTTAGCACTGGGGACTGCTAGGGGGGGATGACATTTCACCAATATTTGCCTGTTCATTTATTTTCAGATATAACTGATGATTTAACACAAAATCTCCATTTTGGCTTGATCTCACAATTAAAATATATTCTCAGAACTTATTCATTTAGAATTCAACAGACATTTAATAAGGATTGTCTGAGTCGAGGCTTGTTCTGGATTTCTGTGAAGATATTACAGTTATGTAAGATCTGATTTCTGTCATTAGGAAACTCTGTTGGGAATCCTATAGCTAGTCATGGTGGGAATGGGTGGCTAAACCGCCTCACCTGTAAGTAGCTGGAGGCTCCTAGTGACCACACCAGCATGGACTGCCTCTTAGCTGGCAGGTCAGCAATGAGGGTGCTGGCCGGGCAGGACCACTGAGCGGAGGAGGGTGATCTTGATGCTTCCCAGCTGCGGGACCTTAGCCAAGGTGATGCTCACTGAGATAATGCTGAAGTTGATTGAGCTGCTTGCTTTCCAGGGCCCTCGTTAGGCTGCCTTCACACCAACAGCAGCAGATCACTGGGAAGGTTGACCCTGCTTCCTTCCCAGCAGCCTCAGGAATTTTTTATTAATCACCACTTATGCAACTACTGTTTACTGCAGTGCGCCTGGCGTTGTGGAATACAAAGATCATAACCTTTCTGATTGGGAAAGGCCTTTGCTCTGTCATTCAACCAATAAAGCAGCTCTAAGTGAAGGAGTGCATTCCTCACAGGACATGAGCCATGTAGACTGGGAGATATGCTTAGTGGCTCAGCAATTATCCTCCTACATAACAAAAGGCTAATATGCAAATTGTTCCCCTTGATCAGGGGGTGGCCAGCTGGCCAACCACCCACGGCCCCTCCCCCGCTTGCCCAGCCCAATCAGCCCCAATCGGAGCAGGCCAGCCAGACCCCACATGTGCACAAGTTTGTGCCCCTGGCCTTTGGGAAAGAAGTAAGAAACTATCAATTATATGTATTTTAAGTTACAAGATAATAGAATTGATATCCTAGAAGTAGTGTTCAGAGAAGATAGAAATGAGAAAGTTGTAAGTTTTGTGGGGTTTTTTAAAAAAACTTTTATTATATAACAAGGAACAAGATAAATTTGATTCTGTTAACTCAGGATTTCATCTCTCTGAGGAGAGAGATGAATTATGAAACATTTTCAAACCATGTACCAGTTTTTAGTCAGATTAATTTAAATTGATAGCTATGTAGTTACTTTTTATTATTACCCTTTGGGTATTTTTTCATCTACTTATAAATTTAAGATTGTACCTCAGTGTATACCAATTTCTCAACTATCTAGATTCTCCTTACTGGTTCTTTCTTACCTGGACTTCTATAGTGATACATCTTGAGTAAATGATAGTATTTCTTCCTAAATTTTAGTCTTAAGTTTCTTTAAGTGTTGGAGGATATTGAAATTTTAGAAATTAGGGCAGGAAAATGTTTAAACTCCCAGACAAGTGGGTGATCAGAGCTTGTCTTTGTAGCATCAGGGGTGCCAGGACTTCGCTTGGCTGTGATGCATGCAGACACTCCAGTGACGTGTGCATACGACAGTCCATAGATTTTATCTTGGCCTTGATCCTTGCTGGAAAAAGTGAAATGATGGAATTAGGTTATCAGTCTCTAAATTCTCTTCAGTTATGATAAGAGGGCTATTACTTATAATGAAAGGGTAATATGCTAATTAGGGCAGGCATCTTCCAGATGTCCATCCGGATGTCCACCCAGACCAAGCCACAGCGACTGCGGGCTCAGGCAACCATGGGCTCGGGCAGCTGCCGCGGCCAGCTGTGGCAGCAACAGCAGCGTGATGGGGGCAGCACCTTCCCCTGGCCAGCCCGGTCACCTCCCACAGAGGGAGGCCAGACTGCGGCTTAGGCCCACTTCCAAGCCATCATAGGACATCCCTGAGGGCTCCCGGACTGTGAGAGGGGCAGGCCGGGCTGAGGGACTCCGTCCCCACAGTGTACAAATTTTCGTGCACCGGGCTTCTAGTTACTTATAATGACTGTTTCCACAAGATTCCTATTTTTTATTTGGTTGTTTATTTGTTCAAAAGAGTAATATAGATTTATGTTTCTCCCTGTTGAAACAATATTGTTATAAGTTCCAGTGAACTGTGCCCTGGAAGGTCCCTTCCAGTACATCTTCCTGCATGTGATTGTTTTGGTAATGTCAGTCAAGGAGTGACCCTTGAATGTTCTGTCCTGTATTCATCTTTCAGCTTCACTGTGTTGTAATAAGCTCTGTTTTGGATATAGAAAGCTACTGTGTCAGTCAAAGCAAGAAAAATACAATATAAATCAACTTTTCTAAATAAAAACTCAGCAGATATATTAAGGTAAAATTGCAAAATCTAAGTACTTGGCAAAGGTGGTGGTGAACATTGCACCTGACACATAAACGGTGCTCAGCAAATACGAGCTCAGTTGAGCAAGAGAAGGTCCAGTCCCATGTTCTGTCTGTGCTCCTCTCTCTAATCCTGTGGTGCCTGCCTGGGACCACATGGACACTTGCTGTTGAGGGCCGCAGACCTGGCGGGGTTGTGCAGTCGCCTGCAATCAGGAAGCAGCAGGTCCCTGCAGCTCAGAGAACTGTTCACAGCAATATGTGTTTCATTGGGGGTTGGGGGCGTTGAATGTGGTTTTAGTAACTTTACAAACTGTCAGGATGTGCATTGTGTGTGCATTATACAAGTGCATTGCAGCATGCTTTGTTTAGTGAGTCCAGTAGCATTGGAAGCTGCGTGGGGAAGCCCATCAGTATTATATCTGATCCTTAATTCCAGCGAGTTAGATTCATCTGATTAATGGAGTTTTCCAACTTTAAGGCTTCTTTAGAAGTTATTTCCAAGCCTCACAAAAGTCTTATGAAGATAAAAGTAATCAATTGTCAGATAGTATATTGCTATATCCAAGAAAAAGAGAAATAAACCTTGCTCTCGGCAGAACATCCTATATATCAGTGGTCCTGGCCTCTGTGGCTCAGTTATTTGGAGTGTTGTTCCGTGCCCCGAAAGGTTGCAGGTTCAGTCAGGGCGTGTACACGAGGTAACCAATTGACGTTTCTCTCTTACATCAGTGTTTCTCTCTCTCACCCCCCTACCTTCCTCTCTAAACATCTCCTTGGGTGAGGATTTGAAAGAGAAAAGAAAATGCCTGGTCGGTGTGTCTCAGTTGGCTCCATTGGTTGGGTATGGTCCCATGCACCAAAAGGTTGCTGGTTCAATTCCTGGTCAGGGCATGTGCCTGGGTTGCAGGCTTAATCCCAGGAGGGAGTATGTCCAAGGCAGCTGATCAATGTTTCTCTCTCACCAATGTTTCTCTTTCTCCCCTCCCCTTCCTGTCCCTCTAAAAATCAATAAAAATATTCTTCACAATGGATTAATTTAAAAGTATGAAAAATATAGTAATGGATTCATCCAGAAGTATGAGCACTTGGTGCCCAATATGGCTTTTGTAAATGGTCAGAATTGAACCGTGTTTAAAATCCTGTGCTACAGTTAACTTAACCACATTCCTGCTTGTGCTTCAGAGAACAGCTGATGTTCCCTTTTCACTTCCTGGACCGACTGGGGAAGCACGATGTGACCTGCACCGTCTCCGGGGGCGGCAGGTCGGCGCAGGCTGGAGCCATCCGCTTGGCAGTGGCCAGAGCTTTGTGCAGTTTTGTCACCGAGGAGGAGGTGGAGTGGATGAGACAAGGTACGCGTTGCTGTGGGAGGGAAGTGTTCGTTTTATCTTGTGCTCCTTACCTGGACTCAGGGAGGAAACAGCTCACTGTGCAGCATTGCAATGTGCTGCCTTCTCTTTTCATGCTCCAGAACTATAGCATTGTCATTCAGTTTTGATTTCTACAAAATGAACTTGAGTTAGAAAAAGAAAAGGGAGGCATTGTCAGCATCAGAGGAAATTTATTTGGATCTCAAGGCATAACCATTTTACCAAGTGCTGCTCTATTGTGTTTACTAGATGGATTGGTTGTCTTTGTTTTATCATGGAAAGTTACAATAATTATTTCATTTAATGGTGAAGCCCTTAAGGTGTGTATTTCTTTCCAAAATTATTGGCGATTTCCATTTTTTCATGGTGATGTTTGTTCGAATTTCATGTTGTCTAGCCTCATGTAACCCCATGACATGGTCGTGGAAACAAGTGTGAGAATGAAGATGCACTAAACTTGTTCGTCAGGGCACTGCTTCGGCATTTATGATAAATCAGGACGGTTTGGCTGGAGATTTTCTTTGCACTCTTTGTGAAGAGACGGCAGTGCTGTGGGTGCTGTGGCTCCTCACTCGCCGCCCTCCCCCAGGCCCTGGCTCCCGGAGCTGTACTGCAGACAAGTGCCACCTAAGGCCGAGCCTCCTGACATGTGTCAGCTCTTCACAAGCCATTTGTTTATAAGCAGCTCACCATTTTGTGAAATTCATATCTGGTCATTAAAATTATTTTATAGGGTCTTAACAATTCCGCTAGTGTGAGTTACTGTGCATATTGAAAAGTAATAAAACATTATCACTTATAATTTCAAGTAGAATTTAAACAGGTCTTATCTGCATTTTGTTCAAAATATTCTTTATTCCATGCCATTTAAGTACAAGTAAAGTGCAGAAGCTATGGGTACATGATAAGCACTTGAAGTTTTCCTTTGCTGGGTGGTCATAACAAGGCGTCTCATGAAATACGCACGTGCTAGTGTTGGAAGAGTTAAGGAAGAAAGGAAAGAAAGAAGGAAGGAAGGAAGACAGTGAAAACACTGTGATCTATTTACATTTTTATAAAAGCTTTCTTATTGCCCGAAGTTTTGAAATCTGTGGTCTTTGCTGATATGCTGATGCATCCATGTGGGGTCCTCATTGGCCATGCAACTGTGAGCAGCTCCTGAATTGTGGGGGAAGCGTAAGTGCTCCTGGTACTGACCAGGGGCGTGGAAGCCTCTCATTTACACTGACTTCTTCCGGGTGAACTGCTGACCATGAGAATGCAACCCTACAACTCACCGTTTACATTCTGAAACAAAATGCCGGGGATATTATGATGCCATAAATTAGAATAAGATTGTTTTTCTCAAACATGTTCAGTAAATCATAGTGTGAGTATGTGTGTGTTCATGTATACTAGCAATACATGGTGTCCATATACCGCCTCCTGCCCGGTATAAGTGTTTCTCCACCTCTCGGGTTCGCTAAACTCGCTCGCGCCTGGAACGACGGGTGTGCAGCAGCTCCTCTGCCTGAGCAGCAGCCTCCCACCCGGGAGCGGCCTCCGCTTCACGAAACAGTGCCCAGTCCTCACGCGATGAGGAGAGCAGACCGAATAGTGTCGCTGGTGTTTGGGAAACTATCCTGAAAGTGCGTTTCCAGGGCTTGTCACACTTCTCTCTCTCTGCTGCAGCGGGACTGCTCACGTCCGATCCGCGGGTCCGGGAGCGGAAGAAGCCGGGCCAGGAGGGGGCCCGCAGGAAGTTCACCTGGAAGAAGCGCTGAGGCGCCGGCAGAGGAGGGGCGCCTGCTTGCTGCGGACACACCAGTGCCGCCGTGGGAGGGCCCCTTCAGACTCTGGGTTGTGAGCCCTTATTTTCAAAGGGGCCTTTTAAAAATCACTCTTAAAAACGTCAGCTTCGGTCTGCTGCTTTATTTTTTTAGAAGTGTGAATTCATAGAATCTCAGCATATTGGACCTGAGGGGAACACTGAGCAAATGTCCATCCAGTAACCTCGTTTTGTGGACCAGAAAGCTGAGGGTAAGCCACTTGTTTCTGATGGGACTGGGCTTGAACTCGCCTCTCCCGACTCTCGTTTGCCCGCACGGCAGCGGCCCAGCAGTTCCCACACTGAGGGAGCTAGTTCGGGAGCAGAGGGAGTGAGGCTGAGGCCGAGCTGCCTGGAAGCTGTTGAAGGCTACAGGCCAGTTTCCCCACCTCGGCCCCTGGCAGTACCATCCTCTCTGCATCTGACTGCTTTTTTAACTACAGTCTACATATAATTGACACCATGCAGGTTTTGTCTTCCTCTGTCTGGCTTATTTCACTTTGCACAGTGCCCTCCAAGTTGGGCATAAACTTTTGGTTATAAGGCGAATTAATTCTGAGGATCTCATACACAGCATGGTGACTGTAGTTAATATTATATGGGATCATTGACATTTGTTAAGAGGGTAGATCTTTAAGCGTTCTCACAGAAAAAAAAAGAAAGGATAACTGTATGAAATGATGGGTGTGTTGTTTAACTCAAGTGTTGGGGCCCCTTTCACAGTTTATACATATGTCAAATTGTCACACCGTGCACTTCACCTGTCACCGTTTTATTTGTTTACCCTTCCGTAAGGCTGGGAAATAGACAGTGAGCCTGCCCCGAGGCGGGAGCACGGGGCAGCGAGAGGCCTGGGACTGGGGGAGCGGCCTGGGAGGTGGGAGCGCTGTGAGGCAGTGTGAGGAGATGACAGCAGTGCCCGCTGCGCAGCTGGCACCGGCCCTCTGCAGCTCCTCTCCACAGCGTCCTGGAGTGAACACCAGTTACATGCTCACCTGTAGCTTGAGGAGATTGTAAAACGTTGAAAATCTTTCCAAAGTTTTCGATGGATGTGTGATTTTGCTGGCCTCTGGATGTGTGATTTTGCTGGCCTCTGTCAATTCATTGCTTTCACATGTGCCCACAAGATCCATCCCTATGGTGTTAAGAACTGCTGCCTTAGGAGGGTTTTTGCGCTTTTTTTTTTTTTTAAGGAAAATAAGCCTGGGTTTTGTCTGCAACAGTGAATCCAGCAGGTAAAGCAGAGCAGCTGTCGGTAGGACGTGTGGTGAGAGGGCCTGCCCCCAGCAGGAGGAGTGAATAGGGAACTGGTAACGAACGGCCTTCATCTTAAGCTGGCACATGGGTGTCCACTGTAGTATACCTTCCCGTGGGGTGGATACAGTTTTTATTATGAGCTATTATATGATACCAGTAAGTAGAAGGCCTTCCTGCAGACCACGTGGAGGTTTCAGAACACTGAGGTCATGTGTGACCTGGCAGGCTGACCTCCGTGCACTTGACTGCTCACATGAAGTGAGGAGAACGACAGCGCCTGTCCAGGGCTGATGAGGGTCCCTAAAATGCCCGGAGCAGCGTGGCCCACAGGAAGTGCTCCGTACTTCCTGGGTTCTCGTGAAATTCTCTCCTTGGCCCTGTCATTTGGTTAGACAGAAGTGGACGGCAATCGAGTTTGGCGAGGGAGGAATACGACGGTGAAAGGTGCTTCCCTTGAAAGTGAGTGGCAGTCGGTCCCTGTGTTCTCTTCAGGTAGCACTGAGTTCATTGACCGGACAGCGGGAGACAAAGCATGATGGGAGTATGGTGGACCAAGTGTCCCCACATCCGTTAGAATCCGTAGGTGGGCCGGGACTGGTTTGGCTCAGTGGATAGAGCGTCGGCCTGCGGACTGAAAGGTCCTGGGTTCGATTCAGGTCAAGGGCATGTACCTTGGTTGTGGGCACATCCCCAGTGGGGGGTGTACAAGAGGCAACTGGTCGGTGTTTCTCTCTCGACGTTTCTAATTCTCTGTCCCTCTCAATTCCTCTCTGTGTAAAATCAATAAAATATATTTAAAAAAAAAAAAAAAAGAATCCGTAGGTGGGAACCCCCAGGCCTGTGCCCAGCCTCTTGCAGGCGGCAGACCTCAGAGGCAGTGGCCGTGAGGCCTTAGACACAACAGGAGGGTCAGTGCGCTGGGCCTCACGGATCCTGGAGTCTGCCGCCAGCAGGAAGGCCAGAGACCAGAAAGTAAGTCGTCAATAAATCATCTCTCAGCATTGCTACCTTCTTTGGCGAATGACTTTGTGGGGTACAGAACTTTGTCTTATTCTGAGCCTTTGATAAAACATAATAAACTCGTTGCTAAAAATTGAAAGTAATATTTGAACACCATGCTATAAAAACTACTGTACTTCAGCACTGAGCAAAATCTTTCCAGAGAATTTTCTCCAGCATTTCTCAGAGGATAGTGATTACTACTGAGCTGCAAAATGTAAAACTTTTTAAAGAATTCAAGTCCTATTTGTTTCTTTTCCTTCAACACAGGCCATTAGCTTTTTATACTAAACAATCAATAAAATTGGTGTTACATCAAAAAGAAAGGAGCCCTGGGCAGGATCACGTATTTGGCTGGAATGAGAGGACACAGGCCATGACTGGAGGGAAGGCCGTGCTAACCCTGTGTTCCTGCCGCGCTGACCCGCCCCGTGCCTGCCACCTGCCCCCTGGGCAAAGCAGCCAGTGCGTGTCCTCACCACACTGCCCGCCACCCAGAGGCCAGGCCCAGATGACTCGGGACAGCCCTCGGGCCCCAGGGCCCACCGGCGTCACTCCACCAGCCAGCCTGGGCCTCTTGCCCGCCTGTGTGTCCTCGGGGCGCGGGAAAGGCTCTGGCCTGAGTCCCGCTGGCTCCCTCGCCTGCCCGCCTGGTGCTGCCTCGTGGGCCACTATCGTGTGCGGCCTCCGCTGTGAGGGCCTCTGCGCCGTGGCAGTTGCTTCTGCCCGCGGGCTGCCCACCACACCTGAGTAACAAGCCCGCGTCTACACAAGCCTCAGTCTCGGAGGCACTGTGTTTGCACTGAATGAAGATCCCCCGTAACTGCTATGGTGTGTCGACAACTTTTGTTATTGGATTTTTAGTCATCAAACATTACCAAAGTTGTAACTATCAGCCATCAAGTTCCTTCTAGGAATTTTTTTTTAATCCTCACCCCAGGATTTGTTTTCATTGACTTGAGAGAGAGGGAGGGGGAGGAGGGAGAGAAACATCCATATGAGAAACATTGCTCAGTTGCCCCCCCCACAGACACCCCCAACTGTGGAGCGAATGTAAAACCTTTTAGTGTACAGGATGGTGCTCCAACCACTGATCCGTCTGGCAGGGCATAGGGAATTTTTTTAAGGAAGGGAGGAGACCCTTTTATTAGAGTGGTAAGTTCCCATTACTTTTATTAATTCTCTGCTACTTAAGCTTTAACAGAAGTTAGGGCCACCAGCCTTTGGAAACTGATCATGAGAACTCCAAATGTATTGCTTTCTCATCTTCCCAGGACCTAATTGTATTTCCAGCAAAAATGGAACCTACGCAGGGGCCCAGCCCCTCCGAAAGGTTACCCCCAGCCTCCCCATAGCCCACCGCACGCACACCCTCTCCCCTGGGCCCCGGCGGTTCTCTCATGCCCCCACTGTTACGGTGCATTTCTCTCAAAATTTCCGAGTACTGTGTGCAGTGGGGAGGAAATGGTGGCGGGAGCTATGCTTCATAGTGATGTTTAAAGCTGCTGTTACATGTGGGGGTGGCTGCATTGGGTTAGATGAGGGTTCTTTTGGTTGCAGTTGCAAAAGCCTTGAACTTGGACTGTAGTGGTCAGTTTATGGTTTAAACTGAGAAGGGGCATTTCTTGGGTGGATGTGTGACGCACAGCCATCCTGCAGGAAGGAGGAGCAGCCCGCAGGTCTCACCTCATGTAGGCTGCAGCCGCTGCCGGCCGGGAGCCCCCATCAGCTCCTAGGCACACAGCCCCATCCACTCCTCAGACTCTTCCAGAAGGTGCCAGGGTTCGCTCCTCCGTCTGTGTGAATGGGCTCTGGGGGCTGGGACCGGATGGGAGTTACAGCAGCTTCCAGGGAACCAGGTGGCTGACCTCGAAGACAATCCCTCCTGTTACACCCGCCCCTCCGCTCCAGCTGGGCTGCTCCTCTGTCCCTCTGTCCACGGACCCAGCCATACCCACTGAGAGGCCTGGCCCCCGGGTCCCACCTCCAGCCTCCATCTCTGAGTCCACAGCACCTCCCTGTGCATCTCAGCACTCATCCTGAGGAGCCCTGGTGCGGCAGGGAGGGCCCTGTTCCTCTCGGTGCTTGGACACGGGCCGCACAGCTGAAGCCCATCGTGCTGATCCTCACACTGATGTTCAGGTGGTGGGCAGCCTGCCAGGCTGCCTGATGCGTCTGGATCCTCCCGTCAGACATACACATCTGCTGATCACGCCTTGGGTCCAGAGTAAGGTGGTTACAACAGTAGTTAGGTCAGAGTTCTTTACCTTCAAGTAGAGTCTAGACAGAAATACAACGAAACAATTAGGAGGCAGTTAAGTCTGCTGGGAAGTGTTGGCGGAGTGTGGTAATGGCTGGCAGGGGTTGGGTGTGGTCCAGGCAGCTTAGCCAGGGGAACGTCCCTTTCTCCTCTCACATGGCTCTGAAGTTGAGAGAGGGGCCTGATGCTCAGGAAACCGTGGCTTCACTGAGCCCAGCTTTCTGGTCTGAAAATGAAGGCAGTGTCCCCACTTTGCAGCATCCTGGGGCTACATAAGATCTTCGGTGAAGCCCTAGCAGTTTCAGAATCGACAGTCCTTGGTGCACAGCTGTGCCCGTGTTGGCCCAAACAGGCGACACTGCTTCGAGGAGACAGTGAGCCCGGCCACAGGCAGTGTTTGGAGAGCATGTGACATGCATATTCGCAGCCAGCTTGTCCTC